GTTTTGTTATTTCTAGGACTAGGCACTTGCAGGGGTAACTCCTTTGGGTGTAATCCCAGATCGCAACAGAACAACACTTAGGAACTAGCTTGGAGTCGGTCCAGTTCTTTGAGACACGGTTGATTCCAAATCGCAAACCCCTTTTATCTGGTGTTCACAATTTGTTTGAACCTAAGGTGCTGTGTGTTTTCCGAAATTGCATTCAACAGAAAATATCGATGACTGGCGAATGTGCAGTTGAGTGGCGAATGAAAGAACGTAGACCCGACCATAAAGGAGACCTGTTTTGGTGGATCCCTATGCCAGACACAGGAAATGGATGGACATGCTGTCACAAGGTGGCTTGTTTTACAACCAAGAGACTGATCCAGGAGTATGAGTGATTCTGTGCAGACTCTCCATGACCCGAAGGCTCCTCCCCCCGATGTAATGTGCCAGGGGGGGACTTTGGTGGATTACCGATGTGTCAAAACTATACCATAATTTCTCCGATCAAGGAATGACCAAACCAGCAGGCTAGAGCCTTGGTAAAATGGGTCTGCTTTGGTGTTTTCGGCCAAATGTCACCCTCGGGACTTTGAAGCACCCTAACCGGGGAAACCCTGTCATACAATAATACCACTGTTTTGTGATTGGATGCGGAATTCTTTTGTGTTGTTCATTCCTTTTCAGCACCGGGCATAGGCAGCTATTGTGATAGAATGCACGACTGCCAGTTGAGCAGTGACAATGGGAACATATATTCAATATATATATATATACACACATGTGTACAATAAATGCTAGGCAACAGACATACTATAGAAACACACAGGTAGACTGTGCAGGAGTTGCGATGTCAGATCAAACAGATCAAACAAAGCAAGCTGAAAGCAATTCTTTGGCACCCTTTCCACTAAATGTGGGCAGATACTCTCTGGAAATTGTACTGTCTTGTTTGCAGAATGTGATGGTGTCTTTTCCGGGTTTGTGTGCGTTGTTTGGATGTGTCAATTGCGTCAATTGTTCTTTGATTTGATTGTATAACTTTGCGGGCGCCTAAGGAATATGCTTGTGTATGCGTGGGTAAGCAAATGTCACTTGACAGAAAGAACATCTATGCCAGTGAGTGAATCTGAAAGAATAACATACAACACTGCAACACTCAAGGGAACAACAAAGAAAAGAGCACCCCCCTGACGCAAAAGCATTCTTTTTGGGTGGGAGAGACAAAAAGCGACGCGTGAGTCCCGTTGCTGCCAAGGGAAGCGAACAAGATCTTCACCAAGCCGCCTGCCTGGTTGACTGGGTGATGAGAATGCCCACGATGTATCAGCCCCCACCCGCCTTTGATCCAAATGAAGTGATTGGGCACAGGCCTTGTGATGTTTGATTGAATGCAGCCGCTACTTTGAGCTTGCACGTGGTCGTTTCGAGATGCACAGTGCGTTGCAAGGCCGGCACCGTATTCAAGTTGACACACTGTCTACAATTCTTCTTGGATATGGCAATCTGGAAGCGGATTTTCTTGCCAATGGTGTGGGTGCTCTTCCTTGACTTGACTGCATCGTCGCCAGTCTCTTTCAGCGAATTCAGACACCGCAGCGGCCTCAGGAGACGAGGCTGCCATTTGCTTACCCTCCCACCAACCAACATGGAACCCGTCAGAGCACTTGTGAATGAGCATTCCATGTTTTCTCGGGTGAGAGCATAGGTGTTACATGTGCTGCTCTGTTTCCCCATTCTGTGCAGAGGGAATTGAGCCGTGGCACATATGCCTTTGTCCAGAACCAAGCAAATGGAACTCGTGTACGGAAATTTAGCGGATGGCTTTGGTCGAAGAGGCCCAGGTTCGGCACCCAAGAAAAGCGTCGGATGTTGCGAAGGAAGTCTTGGCGCAGACAGCTCCATGCGCCTGAAAACGGTGCGTGAGGACTATCCTTGTTCGTGAATGGCGTAGAGTTGCTGACACCCCTCGGCATGTTGTTTGTTTTGCCACGCCACGAGTTGCGCCAAGTCAAGCTGAAAGTGAGCGCAGCAAGCTTGTTCACCCGCTGAGTTGCTTTTTGTTGGACGTTGTAGATGCCATTGGTTCTCGAAAGGGCTACTTCCATTGGCTTAATACGGCTGTGGGTCAAAACCAATGGTACCATTTTGGGGTAGGTGCATTACCCATGCTGCCCATGCTAGTCTATTTTAGTGGGGATTGGGATGTTCACTGGGGGTACGGGCTTTTGACCCACGGCCATATGTTTATGTTCCCCTGTTGCTTTTAAAGGGGAGTCATCCCTATGTCTGGTCTTTTTCCATTGGACCGCAAGTGGAAGCTGGCAGACGGACGTGCTAAGGACCGAGGTGGCTGCTGCCCGGGACCTGACTGGAAGCCGATAAGCGCGAGAGCCACGATCAAAACCCAGGCAGATGGAGGTTAGTACTAGTCCCACCATAGGTGCGGATATCCGCCTGGTTTATTCTTTACATAGGTTTGGGTGCCTTGCTTGAGACCAGGTTTAAATTGTGACTCAGTTGGGGAAGGTAGTCGGTGCAAAGGCCTCTGGGTCTTTTTTGCGGAGCCATGTGGACGAATGAGGCTTGATATGTCAAGGCGTCTCACTCCGTTTTCTGATGAGCTGTCATCTGTGCGACCATTTTTGGATTTGGTTGAAAGGGAAACTAAAGGGAAATCACCCAATTCGAGGTTTCATGTGGAGACAGTCCCAATTGAGGGTTTTCCGTGCACGGCCTCTTCATTCCCACTTCTATGCCAGGGTAGAAGCTGACTGCACAGCCAGTGAATTAGATGATTACCTGCCATTGGTGCGAGTGATTTCACCTTCGGGCCCAAGTTGCAACCCACGGGCTGTGTATTTTGCTTCTTGTAGAGAGTAAATGGGAAAGCACCCGAGGCCCCCTTAAACCACCGGGCAATCGGAAGCTGAATAGTGGGTACCTGAACGCACCAGTTGTACTTTTGGGCTATCGGCCGAAGCTCGGCACGCCAAGTTGCTGGCCGACTACCGCAGAGGCGAGGGCAACACCTACGAGGCGGGGCAGTTGGACAACTTGCAACCTGCTTGAGTTTCTGGACGTTCTACTTTTGGGGACGAGCATTTCAGTGGCAAAAATAGGTTTGGACCTTTTGGGCCAGCCCAAGCAGTAAGTGAGTTTATGTTGGTTTAATCCGTTCCTTTTGATGTGCGTGCAGTATCCGACTGGCAAACAGCTAGGGCAAACAGTTTTCAAAGGATGCAAATGTGGGCCAGTGTAGAAAAACAACAACAAGCAACATTTCCAGCTGATGTAGAAGATCCCCTTGTCAAGCAGGTGGTTCTTGGAAGGTATCCTTATTCAGGGGATTCTTGATTAAGCTTTCCTTTATTGAACGATTCATTTTTTTGGATTGTTCATCGATCGGAGCTGGTATCACGAGAAAACAAAGAACATCCGTTTATACACGTGTTGTGATCTGGATTTAATACCATCTAGAGAGCGCAATTTGTTGAACCAACCGTTATTGATGGACATTACAATATATTTGTCGGATTTAATCAACAGAGCAATGCGTTCCGGAATGCTGCGGACCGCATATGTGACACGTCGGAAGATACATGAAAATACAATGACGACAAACCCTATATGCGGAGGTCTACAGGATTGCTATCGACCTCCTCGTAGCAGAGATTCCGCCTGTGCCCCGGTGCGAGGTTTGTCCGGAGCTCGAATCGGGGTCCCTATGTTTCATCATGTTTCAAGTTTCCCTGTTTTGGATGGTTTCAAGGGGGCAATCCAAGTGAGTTTGTTTCCTTCAAGGTGGGGTGATGACTCCAAGAGTCAGATAGGGAATCCTGATCATTAAATTCTGGGGCCTGTGAGAGTGGTTTGTTGACATGCGAACCTAGACCGTCTTCTGGCTGGCGGGTTCCTGAGATTCAAAGATAGAATCTAGGGAGTTGGAGAAGATTGTACAGGGTCACGAACTCAGGTCATCACCATTGGCCGCGTTGGTCAGCTTGTTCTTATGGACCATGCTGTGCCACGTCAAGGTTTGGAGGTTTGGACGATGCTGTGCTGTGAGCTTCGCTCTTTGCTGAAGTGATCTCTCAATCCTTTGGACCTGCACCTGAGAGCTGGTTGCAATGTGCTCCGTTGAAGCAGTGGACTTCACTCGATGTTTCCCTCATCGGGCTTCGTGAAGAAATGGGTGAACGTGAAGCGCGCGGAGCACCCACGAGGGGCTGTCAGAACTGGTTCGAGGCGTAGCTTGAGGGCGTAACTTGGGAGACCGTGGTACCCGAAGGGGACACCCTTGTGATCAAAACATAGAGGGACGAGGTTGTTGTTCCCCTTTGGGTTTCCCTTCAAGCATCCCAAACAAAGGTTTCCCTGAAAACATTCCCAACACCGGATTGTTCCTTGTGGTTTCCCTTCAAACATCCGCAAACCAAAACAGCATAAAACAGCATCCCAGGCCATGTTCAGCCCCAGAGGCGGCAAGTTTTGAGTTCTTAGCATTCGAGACGAGGAGCGGTTCTGCCCTCGAGACGGAAGACACACACCTGGCAACAGGACATTCCGAGCCCTTCATCCCTATGCTAACTTACTCGATGTTAGACAGAACCGCCCAAGCCAGCCGGGGGCTTTTGTTTCCCCCGTATCTCACAAGTGGTTTGGGCGGCAGAACCCGCATGAGGCAGATGTACACCTACCCGCCAGAGGAGTGAGTTGGGATCGGGTCTCGAGGGCGCAAACATGACTCGCAAGCTCCCAGTGGTTTGTTTTGGGCTGGCCTTCTCTTTGAACAGCAAGAACACGGGAGCCAGTTGTTTCCAAAGTCCAGTAGGCAAATTGTAGGTAGCAACGTTGGGCATAGCTGAAGAAGAAATGGACGGCTCAGCTTAACAACCATGCTTACAATTGGGCAATTTGTCAGGGGCTCAGGTGGTTGATAGACCAACATCCTACCCGTGCATTCGCAATTGATGGCAGCCTGCCCTGGACTAAGTGCCATGCAATGGTTCTTAATGGAGGCTATGTGTGCGCTTGTTTGGGAGAACTTGGCGCCCACCCAAGTTGGGCGGCAAAACTGGTGCCCACCCAACTTGCTCATCTTAATTTTGGGGCACCAGTTTTTTTTTCCCGGGTGAATGTCAGGAGAATGTCCAATACGCAAAATATTACGGAACAAGCCCGAGGCAATCACTAATTTCCCATCTCCTCCAGGGTAAACAAGTTTTTGAACGGGTGATTGATGTGGTTGCAGGCTTCTGGGGTGCGTTGTGAGGACGTCTTCCCCAACAGGCTAAAGGATCCGCGTGATGTTTTCGGGATCAGCTGTTTTGCACTAAGCAGACAGAGGGGGGCTATCTCTGGAGAAGCCTCATGATTGAAATACTATGGTGATTTCCCATGTTCCCCCCTCCCCCCCCCCGAGTTAGGCCCTTGATATTGACAATCGAAGCATTGCACAGGAGTACATGCTCGCCTTGTCCATCATCGCCATGCTGCTGGACTCGGGGCTTTTGGCGTGGACGCCCAGCCATGCCAAGAGCCATTTGCACAACAGATATGAGGGTCGGTTCCTTTTTGCCCGAGGGTTGAAAGGGTAACCAAAAGAAAACCACCAATTTGCGGGAGTCCCATATTTTGACACAAACACACACCAAAAAGAAAGCCAATTGAAGCAAGCGCGCAAATTCTTGCCAATCATGCCTCACTTGGCTGAACGGGGACCAAAGGTGAGATTGCCCGCTCCATTTCCCAGTGGTACCCTGACACCCTGTTCTATTGTAAGACGTTGTTCTTTCTACATGGGGGTTGATCAAAAGGTCCGTGATACATGGGGTGGCCATGGGGAAGACCACTGAAAAGATGATACTTCCCAATAGAAAAGGTTACCCGTGGTCAATGTGAACGCAAATAATCTGCATCAGTGCCCCAATGGGCAAGGAAGTACTCCCAAGCCACCATGATCCCCCAAAAGGAGATCCCAGCGGCCTGATGTGAATCTGCAATGGGGCGTTTTGGGGGACACTCTGGCCCTTACCAAGGTTCAGTTGAAAGCGAATGGAGCGGATGTGACCTTCTGGTTTCCCCATTCCATTTTTCGGCCGACCCCAAAAGGTGATCACCGTTGATTTCCGAGGCTAGCTCTGAACCGCGTAGATATTAGCTTAACCCCTTTCCGCGCGTTCGGTTTCCGAGGGCAGCTGCGAAGCTGCGGTCCAGAAGTCCATCATGAGCAAGCTCAGGACGGAAGACGTCGTCCCAAACGGTGGCCGTCTGGGGGGCTTCTCGATTTTTTCTATTGTTTGTTTGGGTGGGGTTATTCCTGAGGTCGGGTCATCTTGATGGACTGGATGGATCAACTCCATGCCTAGCAATTCAAGCGCATGAAGCACGGCACCTCTTGGAACGGATGACATCACGGCAAGTGCCGCATTCCTTGGTCGGTTCTCGGGTCGTATGGAAGCCGGCAGAGACTTCTCCAGGAATCCCTCCGACATCAACGACTTCAACTTCCAGCTCACGATCTTGAACATGCTGCTGGATAGGACGCCGCAAAACCAGCGAATGCCGATGTGTAGAAAACGCATGAACCACACATATGTATACATATATACACCCAGGTCCCCCCACTAGTGCCCTTCTTAACCCCTTTTTTGGGGGAGGGTGCCCCTGCTAAAATAGACTACAGAGAAAAACGGGTACCCTTATTCTAGCCTTTCTACTGAAGGACCTAGACACGCTACTCCCTCCCAGCTCAAGTTTGTAGTGCCTTTTGGGGCAGTTTCAGAGCAAACACCACTCCAGACTAGTTGCGTCAATTGCATAGCAGACACTTCAAACCATTTGTTCAGTTTCAAGTTCTATCCACACACAATCTAGACGCCTGTTGGAAAAGGGGTTTGTATTTTAAACAACTCGAACATCGCATTCGTCGTTCACCACACACGTAAGCGAAGTGCGCTTTGGCAGCAGCTCAGCACGAGTATACGCAAAGTGGACTTTGGCAGCTTGAGCGTGCCTGCAACCGATCTGTCATCGTATTTTGATCTTCTCATCTTGCCAATTTGGGGGAAGGAATTCATTCCTATCTAGATATACAATTTCATTCCTATCTAGATTCTATGGACGATCAAATGTGCGAAGCAGATCTAATTTCAATTTCCGGTTCAAGTTCAAGCCAATTTCAGCTTGTATTTTATGCATGCCAAAATATAAGTGCTAGTTGATATTTCAATCGGAGTCAACTTTCAAAGGGCGATTTTCCTTGTCTGGCTCCGTGTGATTTTAGCCAAGCACGACCTGATCGAAGAGAAAACGTCAAGCAGCAGTTCTGCTCCTGTGCAAAACTGGCAGGAACATGCGGTGTTGATCAGCATTTGTGAGATCATTGTTCCCCCCTCAAAAAAGGGTCGCACTCGGCAGTGCATGTCATTCCTCCCCCAAGAAAACTGCTTCTATTTCCTGAGTTTAACAACAATGGCCTCCATATGTAGAGTACAAACAACTGAACAGTTTGCGCAACAATCTTTTAAGGGTGAGTTGTTCTGGATCCAAGATCCAAGGTTGCGCAAGACGTTTCTTGGACCTGCAGGCCGGCCAGAGAAGCAGATCTTGGGAGCCTGCAGCATTGGGACAACACTAGGTGGTCTTAAAACTGCTCACCACAAAAAAACACCTTAACGTTTAAACCACACACACAACTTGACAGTTGTTTTTGCTGGATCGAAGAGTGAAGATTGAAGAGCGGAAGACTTGCTCGATATTCTCCAGGTCTGGAAATAATTTGAAGTGGACACTAGACTATGTTTTTCTTGTCAGTCCCCTGCAAAGTAGCAGCAACAAGGTAAGGGTTGTAGTTGAACAAGTTTAGGGTGAGTTAAGCTAATGTTGTAGCTGTTCAGTAGTTCGTGTTTTTAGCATTCACATATTCTATGCTTGCTCTCAGGCAAAACCTTGCATAGGAACCCATTCCTGCCACAAAGCATCCAATAACAAATGCAATTCACCATCCTTCCGGATTGGACAGGAAACTGTCTCGAGCATTTGCAATGTTCGATCATGGATTGCTCACATTCCCTAGAAGGGGTGATCCCCCGCCCCCTTTTAAGAGCCGAAAAGGCCTTACTTGCTTATTTTTACAACAGGAGATGACGATACAGTCGGGCGGGCTAGGCACATCAACTTTTTTGAAATGTGTTACGTGCCTATGGGGCAAGGTCGATGCGACCGGGTCACAACAGGGTCACATCACCTCCACGTTTAGCTTGCGTTTAACCATTTGAACCAGGTAGTGAGGCAGCAGAAAGGCAGGGACAAGCCAGGAGCAAGGCAGGGGCAAGCCACAAGCAAGGCAGGAGCATGTTGGGGAAAATGCTGCGAAAAGACGAACCAAACTTGGTTTTGGAGACAGAAACGAGGCCCCAAACGAGGCCCAAACAAGGTTCAAACGAGGTCCAAAAGCAGCCAAAAGCCCCGGTGGCCCAACCGACAGGTCCCTAAGCACATCTACTGACCTGGGAATCTAAACGATGCAACTGCACACGAAACAATGCAAACGCATTTGTCAAGCTGCTCTTAAAAAACTATTCGAAGAATGGGTGTGTTCTGCTTATAATTTTGATTGGCTTGCTGGTTGTTGTTTTGGTTGTTGCTGCTGCTGTTGCTTGCGGGCTGGCTCTGAAAGGACTTGAGAAAAAACATGCTAAACGCAACCTAAATTGAAGAATCGATACGACCCCGCTACAATGCTTTTCCCAATGCCAGGGAGACAGTCAAGCCAAATTGATGCGACTAGGCGGCACTTTTCAGGCCTTACTGAGGAGCAAGCTTAGTGAGAGGGTAAAATTGGGGACCCCCCCTCACTGGGGCGAGGGATAAGTATTCCATGATTTGATTTTACAGTAGGACAACTTGACAATTGTTCCAAAGAATGGAAAGTGTTTTGGGAGCTTGCTTTATGTGCAATCCTTAATTTTTGATCCGGTGGCCAACAGTTGCCAAGTTCTTCGAAATATGTCAAGATTTTCCCGGCGAGCTCTTCTTTCACATAGGCTTTGCTTACGTTGACTTTGCTTTAGGTAAAACATACAGCATCAACGCTGAACAACAAATTATGTCCATCTGCGTGTATACGGCAGCCCCTCAATTCTGCCAAGCCAATCAAGCCAAAGAGGCATGACACACTGCAAAGCACAGCTGAAGCCAAGTCACTGGGTCCACGGAGATGCAACCATGGATATTTATATGCACATAATATGTATATATATATATATATGTATATATATATACCCTCCAAGAGGGGATAACACTGAGTTCTGACGGCCATTCGGCCACCTGGGTATTGCGCTAAGGACAGGCCCAGCTGGGGGCCTGAACAGGGGAAGTGGCCTTGAGTCACCCCTAAGTAAACCCTAAACCTACCCAAACACTAACCTGGAGTCTCCTTCTGACCCTTAAAAAATGGTTGGTCATTACCCAAATTGATGGGGTCATGGAGAGTCTAGGAAGAGTGAAGGCAAGAATATGGGCGGTTCGTCTTTGTTAAATGTACCCCAAAATGGCGCAAGGGTTTTTCCATTAGGTTTCCCCTAAAGCCAAAATGCGGGTGTCTTCAAACCACGCACAACCATATTGCTGCTCTTGCTGGAGAAAGCACGCAGGTGAGTCACAGACAATAGTACTGCACGATTCTGATTTGGGAAGGCCCCTATCGGTTTTGCAGGTTGACACGTATCGGTTTGGGTGGGCGCATATCGGAATCTGGTGGTAATACTGTCGCTTGCTTGCCTTGTTAAACAAATGAACTTTCAACGTTCGATCTTTTGTAAACGGGTACGCGTCAAAATTAAGCCAGCAGGGGGCAATCGGCAGATGTTAGTTCCTGTTTCCATTCACCAGGGCAAGCCAGTCAGGGATTACCCGATTTTTGACACGCAGCCAAGTGTATAGCTCCCTGCTTGCCAGCCGAATAAATAGATGTTTGCAGGGGGCCCAACTGAAGTCTGTGAACGACACCGCGGCAGGATTGCCCGCTGGCCCCAGATGTGCATTGAGCTGGCAAGGCGGGGAAGGGATTTGGTGGTGCTGAAGAACTGGCTCTTCCGCCACGCGAAGCTTTGGAGCCTTCGTGGTCGCGAAATATCCGGAGAGGCGTCCTTTTCATCGGTTCGTTTGGTAAGACATAGATCTGGTTTAGATGGGTTTTATTTTCGCCATTCGACAGGGGAACCCATCTCTTTTTTTTAAGGTAACCCATGATTCGGACTTGTCTATGTTGCAATTGACTTCGGAAAGAGCTCGAAATTTCCCGGAACTAGCGGACAAGCCCTACGTCCTTTTTCGGAGGCCCCCACAATTGTGGTTTTCCTCTTGGGTTATAAACATGTAAAAGCACCAAGAAAATGATACCCTCCAGAAAAAATACACACCCATGTGTTGTCAATTCAATGATGTGGGGGGGATTCTCTTGAACTTTCCACTCAATCTTGAGTTCGGCTTAATCCGGAAGACCGTACTAATCCAGCAAAACCAACATGGCAAGTGACCAGCATGTTTCACAACGTCACCAGTGGCACTAAACTTTGGTGCATTTTGCTTGGATGTTAGGGCTTTGACTTTTTGCCAACTAATCGGTTTTCCATTCAACCACTAAAAGTTGAACTTTAAGCAGAGTGCAAATGGCCTTCCTGACATCCCGGGGCAGATCCTTTCACGTGCCAGGATGGACGTCCTTGCCAGGCAGTTGCCCCCACTGGGAGCTTATGCACCTTGGCAACAGTTTGTTTGGGCGCATGAGCGCTAGCCTCATGGACCCCCATTTTAAGGGAGCTATGGGAGGGGGGCTATCCCTGCATGAGCCTAGGATCAGTCAAGGATAAGCCCTAAATAAGGCCATCTTGAGGGGTTAATAAGGGATAGCCCCCCCCTCCCCATAGCCCCCTCTTCAAGATCCATGATGCGCATAGACCCAAACAACATGTCAGAATGTGTCATCCGCTCGGATGGTTCGGAAACGAAGCTGATAGAGACCCACCAAGTTCGCAGGATCCTCTACACGCATTGCCAACCCTAACTGCCATTTTTTTCCAGAGACATATATTGTTTCACGACGCATCAGAAGTTGTGATTTGACTTGCAGTATGGTGACAAGGTGATGAGCGAGTGTTGTCCTGAACCTTGTTTGTCATTTTGACTGAGGTCTGGGTGTTGCTGGGATTGCTCAAGTTACCTTGTGAGCCACAATCAAGACCTGGGTAGGTGAAAGTTAGGGAACAGTCGGACACCCAAAAAATTGGTGCGGATACTGGGCATGGTTCGGGGGTTTTGGGACCGCTGGCAAATCCCAGGCGTAAAAGGTGACTCAGGGCCCAGATCTCCAACCATGGACCCATGAACCACTGGCAGCCTTCACTGCGTTGCAGTTTGGGCAAAATTCGAGCTGGAATTTCACGCGAGCACTCTTTTGATTCACGGCTGTCTAGATTGGCCCCTTAGACATGTTGGAAATTATTGAGTTTCCCATGCAAGCTTCAAACTCAGCAGCAATTCCCTGTGCAAGTCTATGACAGCTCCACTCACAATCGAGGTTTGTGGATTGCATTTTTGGACCCTGCCCTGTCCACCACTGGATGATGGACATTCCGCTAAACTTCTCAACTTGCAACGTAGACTTGAGTTCTGGGTGCTAGGCAGCCCATAGGCTTTTGAGTTTTTCGAAATTAATCTCAGGAGGGGGGTGGTTTGTATCTTTTCCAGGAGTTAGGGAGGGCCGCATACATGGACCGCACCTGAGATTCTTCCTGGTTTCATTGCAATCTGACCGTGTTGGCCCCTTTTGCCGCTTTAGGCAAGGGAGGCGTTTCCAGTGCTTCCCTTGCCTTGCGTTAACTCAAGTGACCTTTTGTGGGGTCGAGGGGGGGGGGGGGGTTGGCGCATTTTCTGGCCCAGTTTTGAGGCATTGAGCGCCAGGTTTGTTGCAAAGGCTACCCTCTCTCCCACGTTGCCACCGGGAAATGGTCCCAAGCTGATCTTCCAGGTAGCCATGGTGCCATGGTAACGGGGGAGGCGCATCAGCAGCTTGTTGCCGAGGTGACCTATGCCAAGCAGGTGGTTGCGGCCATTCCAGAGGAGATGTCGTCGCCCCGCCAAATGTGAGTATTCGTCAAGTGACGTCGAAAAAGCCCAAAAGAAGTTGCGGCTTTCCTTTGTGGTTCCTCCTTACTAGGGGGAAAGTAGGACGCAACAGCTTCCCGGAATGTGAGACCGACCCCCTTTCCATGGTGTAAGGGAATACAGAGACCACTCGTGTCTAGGGATCCCATGTTTTTAGGAGGCACGTCGTAAAATACAATCCACACACACACAAAAACAAAAACATTACGGTCAAATGCGGTAAAGACCCCGGTTTCCCAACTGCTTCCCTGGCAATAGAGCATCCAGTATACCATCAACCCGATGGATCTGCGGCATCCTTCTCCAATGAGTCAGAGCCATGGTTGCGAATGGCCCATCTACGGCAAAACCTAAAACCGCATTTCCCACAAGTCACAAATGGCAATGGCTCCCCTTTGGGGTTCTCAAAGTTGGTTTTCTTTCTGTTCCCCTTTAAACAACCACCCAAAAAACACTCAAAGCTGCTGGTGTTCCTTTCGCTCCCCTGAAAAACCAGCTGGTTTGCCTTTCCCCCTAAAAACACCCACCCTAAAAACGCGGCTCCCTTAAACAGATACCTGTTCCCCTCCAAATAAACCCAGCCCTAGAAGCGCGGTTCCCTTAAACCCCCCCCCCCCCCACCCCATGGCTGACACATCTTCTCCAGGAGCTGAGGTCGCTTCCCAGTCTCACCCGCACCGAGTTGGAGCGGTTCCACCAGAAGCTGCCGACCATGCCCCGCCAGGAGACCGTGCGAGGCGAAGCCCCGTGAGTCACAACGGATCACTCGGGGTGAAAACTCCCGGAGATACTTCTGGGAAGCTCCCCCTTTTATGATTTTTCCTGGGATACTTTTGGGAATCTCCCCCCTTATGGGGGGAAATTGTCTTTGGGAAGCCCAAGGCCCTTGTTGTCTCACAGAAGTGGAGTCTATTTCCCACACTTCCACACCGACATCCGCGTAAAACACGAAAAGACGGGGGAAAGCCGCCGGAAAGACTCACTTCCTGAGTTGCGTTTCGCACTTAGACGCACTTTTTGGGTTTGGACCATTTTGGTGGCAACACAACACATGGCAACCTTTTTTGGCCAATCTACTCGGGCAGTGAGACCGTACTTAGATGGTCTGGGACGCATCGCTAAGTTAGTCGCCCTGGCTGTAGACGACTTACAATCATGGCGTTGGTGGGTTGCAACCAGGGTTACCAACCGTTTAGCGATTTGTCCCGGACCATCTAAGTGCTAGGTTTCATGCAGATGTTAGCTTTGGTTTCTGAGGGTTATAGCATGTGGGAGCTTTTTACGGGACCCCCCAAAGTGGTGGGTTTCTTTTTGGTTTCCCTTTAAACACGAAAAAATGAGACGCCCACAAGAGAAGACACACATCTATTTATCTTTGCATGGACCAGCTCCTCCAGGTTCTGAGCTTGCAGTGAAAACCCTGTTTGGGGAGGGTTCCCCTACTAAAATAGCCTACAGAAGAAAGAAAAAGAGGTACCCTTATTCTAACCTCTCTACTGGAGGACCTAGGTTTTGGGATTTGGGATGTGGTTGAAAAAGCAGCACTTGCTGGGGGGGGTTATTCTAAATTCGGTGACAACATATTATGTGTGTGAGTGTGTGTTTTCCCCATGCTCCACAACCCCAGTCTACGTGGGTTTATCAAGCAACCCCCGATTTGGTGGATTGGATTGGTGGTTTTTGGATTTGAACCGCGGACCCCTGGTTCTTGTAGAGGATAAATGGGAACCCCCTCCTTACCCACCAAACCACCGATTAGAGGGAAGCTGAACTCAGTTGTCCAAAGCCGACCTTTTGACATTTTGGTTTTCCCATGTTGGTCCATTTTAAGTTAAGGTCCCAAAAGGTGAACCTTTTGTTTCCAGGCCCTTTGGGCAATTGAGAGAATTCAAACCCATTTTTTGAGACACTGCGCGTCATATTTTGTGGCTCGTCGCCAGTCTGGGACCAGAAGCAGCGGGACTTCCGACCAGGCCGTCGGGCGTGGAGATGGCATGTCAAAAATCGGTCAGCCGCCAAAATCCAAAATGGGTTGTTCCGTTTTTGGGGGGAGCCCCCAAAATGGCGCAACGGTTTGCGCATTGGGTTTCCCTTCAAACAAGCACATACAAACCCAATGGGCGTCGGTGTTCCTGGTTTCCAAGTGAAACATCTTCACACGGGTATTCTTGAACACGTAGCGGAGTCAGAACTTGGCTCCTGTAGCTTCCTGGTTCCCTTCTTATAGGAGTTGGTTGGGGCGATTCAATTTCACTCGCTTCGCCAAACCGATCCAAAAAGGGGAACAAAACCACGAGAATCGCCGGGGTTTGGGGCTTCGGGCATAACGTAATCGCTTTACACACCATTCAATGGTTCACAAGGGGTCATTCTCTCATTCTCATTCGCCCAATTCTGAGAGCCAAAGCCAGTCTCCTGACAAGACCAGGCCCTTGTCCCGTCCCACACAGTACTTACCCGGCTGACTCTTTCAAGATATGGATTGTGCGTTTTGAGGCTTCCCTTTCTGGGGTCGGTTTAAAAGGGAAGCCAAACAAAAAGCCATCCATTTCAGGAGTTCCCCTGTCACCAACCCAAGATTTACAGGTCGACTTATGGCCTTTCGGCCTCGACGCTTTTTTCATGTAAGCCGCTCTTCCGAAAACGTCCCGAAATCTTTCAAGAACCCAACAGGCACCAATTTGCCTGCGTGTTTGTGTGTCATGGGCCATGGATGGTTATTTTTGTCGCCTTGTTTTTCCCGACTTGCAGTGTTGCCCTTTTTCCCCTGAAAGCTATGGGCTCTTGGGTTTGGCATTTGCATTTTTCAGGGAGGGTTCCGAAGGGTTCTCGGTCCGAGGGCTGTTGGGTCCCGATACTACCTGGGCTTATTTTGAAAGGGCTTTAGTTTGGGGACGTGGGACCCCCTTTTGGATTTGGAAAGGCAACCAACAGCAAACCGACTATTTCAGGGCTTTCCTATTTAAACAAGCAGCCAGTTAAAGGGAATCTGGACCATTTCTTGTCCTCCAGGTCAAACGCATGAACGAACCCCGTGTCAAGAGGCCTGGATTTCATCAACGTGGCGCCCCTCTTTCGGGTGCGACTCCCCAAAAAAGCAACCGTGTTTTTTGAAGTCAAGGCTACTCAGAAATATCCCACCAAACAACAGGGGACTCACTCATGTTACGAATTCTCCTATGCCCATAACGGAAACCGCCATATATTTGGAAAGTGGCTGACAGATTCGCAGGCACCCTGGCACCCTACCTGCAAGCCTTGGCCTCAGTGGATTTGTGGCCATAGGTCTGCCTATTGCTTGGCGAGCTGGGGGTAAAAGGAGCTCACTGGCAGTTTATGAAACAACGAGCTCCACCAGGAACCGCCATCTATTCTCTTGCAAACTCTACAATAAGTCCAAGTCCTGAAATCAGGGATCCCCAAACAAAGGATCTTTCTCATGCAACCAAAAGGACACCCATCCACTGTGATAAACAAAACAGCTGCACTCGTGGCCATGAAGTATTACACTGGGCACTTCCGCGGAACCGGATTCTTGGGTGCCTTTTAGGTGTAGTGTTTATGTTTTGTATTGTTCCCCAACAACTGACAGCTATGGGGGGCAGAGCGCCCAGATAGGCATTCGGGTTCGGGAGGGTTCCGGACGGTTTCTTGGGGCAACCCTGTTCAAGGCTTCGATTACACCTCGACTAAGGTTCGTTGGCCCAACGCAAACCAAAGGCACCTGTGAAAACCCATGACGCAGGTCCTTTACTCGGGGTCCCTTAGTTCAGTGCTTGGCTTTGTCTGCTTCCCTCTTGATGCTTTGGATTGGTACTTGCAGGTTAGGGGTCCAAATCCCCAAACCACCCATCAAACATTTGGGGTAGGAGGGTACCTCAAGGGCCTTGCCGGCCGTCCTGTGCCATGTTAGCGCCGCATGGCAAGGCACGTCCCTTGCTTTCCTTCCTCACTTCCTGAGTTCATGAACTTTAAACTTTTTGGGAAGACCATTTTAGTGGTAAATATAGAGTTTGAACTTTTTTTGGACCATCCACTCAGCAAGTGAGTTTCCGGATAGTCCATCCGCAAACTGGAGAACCGCTTTGCAATTGTTCGATGCCCGAGCTGACTGCAAGCATTTGGCCGAGGGCACAGATTGAGATTTGTTTGCATGAATGAATCATAGGGAGCTTGCCTGGTGTTAGCAACTCCTCCTGATTTGTGATCTGTAGGAATTAGTGCAGATTTGGCTAAATCTTGCCACTTGCTTTTCAGGTCAGCATTGCAGTGTCTGCTAGACATGTATTGGTTTCAGCTGGTTCCTCAAGAGGCTCATTCCTGATTTGCTAGGGCGAGCTACCAGAGGATGGATTTTTCATGAATGGGCAAAGACTGGAGACTATGCGCCACTTTTCTGTACACTGGTATTTGCTCAGAATTAGAAGTTGCCCCGACTTTTTATGGTGCCCGTGTAGAAAACGCGGCACCTTCGTCGGCACCCCCAAATTGGGCTTTACTCGCAGAAACTCTTACTAGAGTTTGCGTTCACCACCGTGTTTGGGACAGGTGTTCTCGTGAACCTGTTTCTCATACCTGCTTTTCTCAGAGTATAGTTTGAGGAACCAAAGGGTTTCGCCTGGGCGTTGGGAGCCTGATTTTCTGCAACCCAATGAGCAAAAGTCAAACCTGGAGGTGCCGATACCTCGAATTGGTTTCCTCTCTTTTTTCTTCCGGATGTGTCTAACATGGATGCCCGAGCTTTGAAAGGGAACAAAGGAACCCCGGTAAATTCATCCATGGTTGGTTTACTTCCAATATTTAGGGCATCTACAGTATTTCGGCGCTTTGTGGGAACGAGACGATGAGGGATTTGGCACTGCCACCAGCCGATATGATGGGGGACTTTCTAGGGAGCCCGGCTTTCGCTCGCTCAGGGCGGCCAAGAGGAGTGCAAAACTCAGCTCCTTGTTCTTCTTCTCGAGTTGGATGTCGGAAACCAAAGGGATCACCGGTTTCGGCAAAAAGCGGAGTGAAGGAAAGGGGCGTTTGGGCTGCGGTGGTTCCATTGTTTTCCACTGTCTCACACGAGGCCAAGTTGCAGTGCCTTCCGCGTGCTTGCTCTAGAGCCAGCAACTGGTGTCTCTTCCTATTCAACCCATGCCAACGGATCCCAGCTACAACAGGTCACCATGTTCCTTTTGGTTTCTGATCGAGTGGTTCCCTTGATTACCTCGCCTCAAAATGGATCCACTGGCATAGCATCTTGCAGGCGAAGAGAGGCCCTGAACTCAGCCGCGCAACCGGTGCATGTCTCTGAGCTGGACATGGGTATGTCTTTTTTAAGGAATCGACCCGCCAATCCCCCCCCTCCCAGGGAAACAAAGGTTTTCCGCTCGGTGTCCCTTTCAACCAACCCCAACAACGGTAGTCTTAACAAGGAGACACACCCGAATCATAGTAATTTGCTCACATTCCATGGTCTTCTACAAGCAAATTGCGGCTATTGCTTCGGGTGAAGGTCAGCGGCGCCTATTGCAGCCTGCGCGATTGTCCGCAACTGGTTGCCTTGTTTGGCAAATCTGGACATGGCATTTTTGGACATAGTTGGAAGACAAAAAGCGCAGGAGCCAACCTTTCCTGCAAGGGTCCAATGCTTTCCGAGGAGAAGCGGGAATAACACACGTCTTGAAGTTGTTATGAGACAGGCAACACCAGAAAGCTTCAAGAGTACACCAGCTGTTCTTTTCACATGTCCAAAAATCTCACGTACTGTCCAAAAAGCAGTGGTTGGGGGGGGGGGGGGCTTGGTTGTTGTTGGGAAACATTTTGCATTTTTGCTTATGGTGGTTTAGTAGTTGAAATCCAACCACTTGGCTGCTAAAAAACATGTTTTTGCTCCCCAAACCCAACGTCAACCAAGGGGGGGGTGCTGACCAGAGTCTAAAGGCTAGCTTCAATCTCGATCCAAGGTGCCACCCGGACCGCCACCAGCCCGCCCGCCACGTATGACTGAAGCAGAAGTTCGGTGAAGTGGGGCGCAAATCGTTTCCGGGGAAATGTGTGTATTGTGTAGTTTGTAGTGTGTAGTTTGTAGTGTATAGTGTGTTGTGTGTTGGTTTGTTCACCTTGGATCGCTTGACCCTTCAGAATGACCATGTCGAAACCCATTGAATTGGGGTCAAGGGGAGCCACGGGAAAACCACCGAGGTTGAGCAGGATTGCCGTGAGCACATTTTCAAGCACCCAAGGGTAGAGGGGTAGAGACTTGGGAAAGGGAAGGATTGCTTTGCTTTCCCTCCACCAGAGACCAAATGTCTATGTGCCGGGGTTTTGGAGCAGCGCTGTTGAGCATAGGCGGCCTGTCTAGTTCATTTTAGTTAAACAAATGGATGTTGCTGGTTTCAGTCGGTTCCAATCATTTGCTACCATCCACTTCTCCAAACGGCCGCCTAGTCAGGTCACCCTCAGTTGGCTATTCGGATTGCTGGTTTGGGGGTTTCCACTCCCCTAACCTCCCCCAACCACCAATCCAAGACCTTTAAATAAAGCCCTGTTGGTTTCCCTTGAACACCAACCCCACAAAGCATACCGAGCCACAAAAAGGCACACCCCATTTGGTGGTTAACACCAACAAATCGGCGGTTTGGAGGTTGGGCAGCGCATCTGCCCACAATCGCCAGGCGAAGGCCCAGCCCCCGGGCATGATGGCGCCCCCGCAGAACCCCCCGCCGCCGCCCCCCACGCGGCAACCCCCGAAGGCACCGGGGAAGCCGGGAGCGCTGATCGAACTGAAGGGGGGGGGAGCGTCGCCTTGTTGGGCGTTTGCCTCTTTTGCAGTCAATAAGTCAAGATGCATCGTTTGAAGTAGAGGGATGACAGTGGGTACACCCAAAAATTGAGCACTGGAAACAGTTTGCTCGCCAAATTGTATGTCAGCTTTCTACATTTATTTTTGTCGGGTGTTTTTTTTGACGGGTGGGTTGGCCACCAAATTCGAATCACCCCCAAAGCGAAGTGGTTTCTTGTTTTCTCGGTGAGGGCAACTGGGGTGAAGAGGAGTGGGTTTGTCTCAATTCGAGGGTCTTGTTGCAAGTTCTGTGTCTTGCGGTTTCTTACGCCATTTCCGCAGTAGGCCGTTTGCCTATTTGGGTCTTCCTCAAATAGGGGAACCGCATGAGAGGTGTCCCCGGAACAAGCCAAAAAAGGGCACATGGCCAGTTTTCCCTTGAAACGTTGACGGCGCAAACAAGCAACTAACATAGGTGTCCCTTTGATCGATTAGTTTGGTTGGAAATAGAGCCAGCTTCCACTGGTTTAGTTGAGTGTTATAAGCCATTTACTAGGAAAGCCCATCTACCTATATGGCAACCAAAGAGACAAACAAACAGCAAAGCGGACGGACGTGCAAAGCGCAGGCAGGCAGACAGGCAGGAGCGCACAGAGAAGCCATCAAGAAGAAATCAGGCTAACCCGCAACCGCAACTTCTGTCACGGCAACCAACGCAGCCAAACCGGCCACAACCGACAACAGCTTTGATGGTAGCAGCAACTGAAGGAGCAACTGCAGCAGCGAAGCAGCCGCAGCTACTGAAGGATGTTTTCTATCGTCACTTGTAGTGCTTGTCGTGTTTTGTTTGCCAACCCGGAGATCAAACTGCATGTGTTGGTCCAAACGGACCTCTGAAATTGCAAGAGTGAGTGGGAAGCTTCTTCTTCTTTTTTTTTCCGGGGTTGCTCGTTGCCTTGACCTCAGAAAGGGCGTTACATTGGCAACTGGTGGAAACTGGAGGAAAACTCAATCCACGAGCGACGCCTCTCTTGCTTTCCTCCAATGGCAAACTTTGTCTTCGGTGCATACGCGAACCGTGGGTCGCTTCCCTATGTGAAAGGCCAAGGCCTTGCCAAGCCTTTTTGCCCGGCCGGGGTGTTCACTTTCTATTCACCCTTGTCCGGGGCGTCCTTCATTTTGTCTTCACCCAGTTGGACTTTACTAAATGGATATACCTTCAATCACAGACAAGACCTGCAGCAAAGAAACACAGCCAGGTTTTTGTTTTTCCTGCACCGGACCCATGTGCGGCCGGCCCCGGCCGGCACTCGAGCCTCGTGTTTGCAAGGCTGCGGCGCCGCAGGGGCCAGGCGAGAAAGGGGGGGTCGGTGGGAGGGACCTTCGGTCAGACGGCCGTGCCTGGGTTTTTGGGGGCGAATTTTACCGTTTGTTTTGGGTGGTTTTCTCTGGTAACAACTGCAAAGCCACCATTTTGGGGGAGAGTGACGACTTTTGGCAAGGGCAAGAGCGCGGAAGTGGGCAGACAAGTCCCCCCGTTGCCCTGATTCGATTTGGCAGGTTTCTCACTTCCTGAGTTCCTGCACTTTTGCAGACCGTTTAGTAAATCAAAAGCTTGGACTCTTTTGGGCCAATCCACGCATGAAGTGAGTTTTGGCTTTGCTTCGCCCCTGCTCAAGCGCCCAACACCTTGAAGAGCCATGTGTTGAATGGGATTCAGCTTCCGGCTCAACGTGGGCGATTGCAGGGGTGCATGACCCTCTGAATTGGTAGAACAAACTCAAATGGGTGTGGGTCAAGATCAAACCAGGAATTGGATCGCGGGATTTAGTCCTTGGTCCCATTCACCAGGGCTCCATTTTGGGTACCTATTTTTGACCCACAGCCAAATGAGCCTTGCAACGAAACAGGTGTTGGTGGACATCTCGAATCTTCTCTTAATGGAAAACGGTTGAGAAAGCGTCATAAAGTAGATAGCATTGCGCGTTGCTTGAAGCGCCTGCTGTCATTTGGAGAGATCGGTCAAGACCTGCAACACACTGTCCCAGCACTGAAGCGCAGTCGAATGACTTCCCGAATGGTCCAAACGGAGACGTTCAGCGGCCCATGCATCAGGGATTACACCTCGGGGTAGCGCACATTCGTGAGTTACCTGCTGGTTGCTTGTGATTAGACCGTAGACCTTGTATTTTGGTTAATATGTGCTACCTTCAGTTAAATGTTTGCAGGCTAGTCCTGCAGGAGCGCATTTCCTTCTATTGTTGCTCAACAAGGAGCTTCTCAGCAGGCTTGTAGAACCTGGGCTGGCTGGGGGGCTCTTTGTGTTTCTGTTTATGAGAGAGGGATGACCCCTATAAACCATCCCCTATGGTTTCCTTTGAAGTCCCCAAAACCGTTTCATTCAACCAGAACCCGAAAACTCGGGCACGAGCGGCAAGCAAACTGCTGGGTCACCTTCTGCAGGCCCGCGGCCACAGACGGTCCGGGAATCTCAGTGCTGCTGGGGCTTGTTGATGCACATGGCAGCAACAAGCATCCTCCATAGGTGGGTGTGGGATCTCCACCTTGTATTTGGCCCTTTTCGACAATGAGATTCCGGGATTGAATCATGGTAACGTGAACCTTAGCATGAGAGAATCATAGTGTCTGAATACTTATGACTTAGCGCTTGCTTGCCTGATGTTCCCACTATGGGATCGAACACACACCATGCTTCACCCACTCGCACGGAATGTGTTGCCTTTGCAAGCGGAATGTCTGACAACGCTGCGCAGCTCAAAATCGGCGCCCGAACGTGCGAGCTGTTTTAGGCCAACCTTTCCAGCCTTTCGGGGGCTTCGGTTGGACGAATTCGCAGGCACGAATTCATGCGAACGAGCACCCCTTAGGCGAGACATGTTTGGGTAGGGAACAGAGCGTGCAGCTTGGAAAGCTCAATAATTCTAAGGAACATGTCTAATTTGGCTGTGTGTTGGAACAAGTTGGACCTGCTGAGGGATGGTCAGCAGGAGAACCAGCAAGACCTGAATATAATTAACATTGACACCGTTGGTATTCGTAAGTAAACACGCAAGTTTATCATCAGACAAACAATATTGAATAAGACCCAACCCCCACACACACACACACACACACACACACACACACACACACACACACACACACACACACACACACACACACACACACACACACACACACACACACACATCTATCCTAGTGTTTATTTGTCAAGCAGCAATTCAAACCAATGTGTTTCTTTGTTAGACAAAGTGATAAATAAAACATGTTCAACAACAGAAGAGACACAACACAACAGGTCAATGGCTAAAACACAGATCATACATAAATTACTCACAGAGAAAATCATACATAATGCACAAACAACAAACGAACAAAGTAAATCAATGAATGCATGCATAAGGAACAAACAATATAGTGAAATTAGCAATCAAACACACGAAACAAAGAAACACATAAACTGATAACCATATACATAAGCACGTGCACTAATTGAATGTACATGAACATAAGCACCCAATGGCTTTGATTTTAACAACAACTATGCCAGCACCGCCACCCCCAACCCCCCTCCTGTTGGCGTCTTTAGGTGGTTCTACTGGATGCATAGAGGTTATAAAGCCAATACGCCTTTTTAAGTTGGGACTTAAAACCAACATAAAGCCAATCATACCAATATAAACACAACAGAAACCCAATCAAACAAATAGATATGTCTATATAGCTAAGCAAAACCAATGAAAACCAATACAAACCCAAATAAAACCAATATACACCAACAAGAACCATTTGAACTCGAAAGCGAATAGGTGGGCGCTGCGACGCAAGGTGGATCAGCTGCTCAGCGAGCCGGAGGTGCCCCTCTCCATCCCGCCCCAGGCGGCCAGAAGCCCAGTTTATCCGGCAGAGGTGGTTGTTCTTGCGGTTCTTGGTGTCCATGTTTAGTAGGTGTCTGCCAAAAAAATGCATCTGGTTTTTGGGCTGCTCGGAAAAATGTGGTTCATCCAGCGGAAGATGTAGGTCTCTGCCAAAAACCTAGGTTTTGGGCTGTTTGGAGAAAAGTGGTAGATGTGGTTGTTTATCCAGCGGCAGATGTAGGCGTCTGCAAAAGACAGACATAGTTTTTGGGCGAAAGTAGCTTTTGGGTGTCCTTGTGATCGGTTAGTTTAGTTAGAGTCGGGTTCCACGGGGGTGACCAGGGAACGCCATCTTTGTTTCCAAAAGGTCACCTATGTTTGGATGTGTCCTTTTAGGGTACCAACATGGCTTCGGTTTTCCTTTTTTTTTCATTTGAGAACGGCAAGAAGGGGTACCCTCAATAAAGAGTTCTTCGACAGAGAGTACCTTTGAGTTGGAAACCTAGAATGAACATTGAATATGTTTTATGTTTCCCTTTTTGGTTTTAAAGGGAATCTATCACTACTGGACATAATTAGTTTGGAGAGTTGAATGTAATTCAGCGGATCTGGTTCAACGCGTGATTGCAGGGGTGCACGACCCTCTGGGTATAAAGGGTGTCTATCACTGGAAGCAGTTCCCCATTTTTCCCGGGCTGAAGAACATATTTGTTCGATGCAACTCCTGGCAGGTTGACAGGGGGAAGCGATTTTTACATTGACTTGCAATGCGAAGGAGGGCTTTGTGATGTATTATTCTACCAACACTGTGTGAAACAACGGTTGACGAAACCCCACACACACACAAACATACACGCATCCGCAGACGCACCAGTATTTTTGTTCATTGGTTTCCTCCCTTGAAATGTCTTCGTGTTTGGTATACGTACACACCCGGTCCCAGGTCCAGGACAGCGTGGCGGCCATCTTCAATGGCCTTTCCACGGACGCTTTGCAGAAGTCGTGTTGCAGGATGTGGCTGTGGGTCAAAAAACCGGGTAACCCCCAAATGGCTTGCCCTGGTAAGTGGAAGCATGGACCAAAACCTGCGGTCCGATTCCTGGTGGTTTAATTTTGACCCATACCCTTATGTATTCCCCAAGAGCTGGAAGCTTTGGGGGGGGGTTGATGCAGTCATGTAGGATTTCTTCCCCAGACTTTTGCTCTGTGGTTTGGGCCAGCTTTCCGGGAGGCCTCCGGTGGGTTCCGGGGGCTTCCGCTGGGGATAGTTTCCACCTGAGCTTGGCCGTGAAGACACCAAGTTGTAGTTAGTTCATGTCAGTCAACTGAGAGTTTCTTGCAATGGACCCCATTGATTGGGTTTGAAAGGAAGACCAAGAGAAAACCAGCCAATCCCTGATTTGCAAAACACCCATTTGTCTTTCTTTATGGGAGCTGCAAGCTGCGGAGAGGCAGCCTTCCCCAAGATCCCGGAGTGCATCTTGACTTGTAACAACATCGTGTTTTTTTTTTTTTTTTTTTTTTTTTTTTTTTTTTTTTTTTTTTCGGCGGCCTTTGAGTAGGATTCGTTTTGCAACACAATGTGGTACTTTGAGTGAAACCAAGTCCAGCAACCGACACACAGCATCAGAGTGGCCGATGCCTAATTACGTGAATGTTTAATTATGGCTATTTGGTCGGATCTTTGTTGTTGTTCTTCCTTTTTATGTTTTTTTTTTTGGGGGGGAAATGGAACAGTGGATTTTTTCCATTGCACCCACACAAAATGACTTTATGCGGAGGGGTCGTTGCAGCAAGACGTCTTCAAGCCAGGGGTCCTTGTAGTGTGCGCGATCACCAAGGTATAGGTGCACTCACATAAAGCTTTACTGACATCAGTACTGAGGGGAATGTCACTGACGAGCCCAGCCAGCAGGAATGTCACTGACGAGCGCCAAAACTCAATGCCATTGGGGCACGCACAGTACATACTCAGTTGTTCAAAGCCGACCTTTTGACCTTTTGGTTTTCCCATTTTGGTCCATATTTAGTCATGGCCCCAAAAGGTTAACCTTTTAGTTCCAGGTCCTTTGGGCAACTGAGCATATTGACCGCGGCTCATTTTCTGAAACAGGTGGTAACATCACCTGGGTCAAGAGTTGGTTGAGTTACAGTGTCCTTTGCAATGTTTCAGAGGGACATACAAAGAACCTGGTAGATCCCCAATGCAGAGGTTCCAAGTTGGGCGAGCATGGCTTAAGTTTTATTGGCACCTTGGCTGCTGAGCAGAAGCTTGCATGGTAGGAAGACTTTTGAAACTGGCCACAGACAGAGAGCGTGAGCTGTCTCACCTAGTGAGTCATGCCTCACGCTTGTTGCTTGTTAAGTGCTCAGTGATTGAGACAATCCATTTGCCCAATCACAAAAACAGAGTGCCCGGAAAACGCCAATGGACTCGGGTTTGATTCTGATGGATCCGGAAAAGGGAACTTAGAAACCATGATGAGGATTCCTGTTCGGGGAACCATGCTCAGTGAGCATGGCCGCATATCATTGAGGTAAATTCCATGAGAATATGAGGAACTCGCAAATTGCACATATGGCTTTCATGCACCACAATCCCTTCCATCACCCGAGGTATTTGTCTCGGCCATGCTTGGTGTTTTGTTTCCTCGACCTCCCATAGGGAAGCCGCCAGTGCTTAGGATAATCTGCTGGACAAAGTCGAGCAGCTTCAGCGGGTGGCCTGTTCACCCAGCACACGGGCTGAAAACTCTTTGTTTGAGGGTACCTGTGGGCATCCTTTCTGTTTGCTACAAAAAGAACACAAGCCCCAAGCAGGCAAGGGCTTCGTCTAAAAATCTCGAGGACAATTTAAACTCGAGAGCAACGATCCACTCAGTTGTTCAGTGGCTCCCTTTTTCTTCTTTTTTGGTGGCTGCCCCACTAACAATGGTCTTCCCCAAAAAAGGGTTCCCTTTTTTTTCCAGGGTCACTGAACAACGGAGTCCATGTTGGTGGGGAGGGGGGGGTTCTTCCCACGCGAACATGCTCACATCTCCACGCCTGGTCCCCGGACATGGGGCGATGGCAAGATGGAGCCCTGAACCCGAGAGAAACACACCGGGACTGTCTCAAAACGGGGGGACCCCAAACTGGGTATTTCAAGCAACCCCCAAACTAGACCAAACCCTAAGGTGCAAAACCAACATGTTCTGGTTCTACTGTTGGTTTTGTCAACCTTCCAGATAAGTAGGGGCCAAGAGTGAAGGATTCCCTCTGAAATGAAGCATTGTTTTATCATCAACTAAATGACTAAATGTTTATGAATTGACTACACCATCAGGAAAAAACTTTGCACTCTTGGGTCGCCACGACCATTGTTCACACCCTTTCCCCTAGAAATCTGCAAGTGAAAGAGCACGTCTGGGGCGAGGGGGGCAGAGGCGGGGCAGTTTTCACACCTGCAAGCCTTTATAGTATTATAGCTTATAAATTTGGGTGAAAATTGACCGCACCGCACCGCACCTGACACAGAATGCAAGCAGAAATCTGGCCAAATTCAGCCGCTGGTGTGTTTCGTTGCATTCAAAGAGGGCGCAATCCTGCGGGTTGAGCTTGTCCGAAGGCGTTCACTTAGGATACAATTTACATTTTGAGTGTCTCGAAGGGAAGCAAAGAAAACCATGTACATGCTACTGGTTGCCCAACTCTACTCGTGGTTCAGGCACTGCATACTTCCCGTTTTGCCTCCCCTGGCAGAAAACCACATATATATATATATATATTGAACAATATATGGGGGCTGCAAACAGGGGTCAATGATGTCTTTTCCGGAAAGATTGCTCGAGGGCTCGCCAATCCCTACACTGTTTGATCGAGTTCATCTAGCTGTGTCGGTTCTGCAGGCTGGCAGCATGCACGGGGTTCATTTCCAATGTGAACCATTGGTGGACTGAGTTGGTTGAACGTTTCAACAGCGGACTAGCATGAAGCCGAAAGAAAGGCTAATATGGATACCCCACAAATATATATATATATATATATATATTAGCAGAAGCGGATGGGGGCCCAAAACCAATACCATGATAATAGCTCGTCCATGTGGGTATGTGTCCGACCCCCGAATGGTGGTATTTCTTTTTATTGTTCATGTTTTCCTGTGAAAACAACCTGAACAAGGTCCCCCCCCCCAACAAAAAGAACAGCAGCAATCAGGAGATTTCATGGAGTTTTGTCCAGCATCGGGTACTCTGGGTTGCGGCCTTGAGAAACCTTGCACCGGTTGGGGCTCCAACACTTGTTGGAACTATGTATCCCATGCCCCCATTCAAAGGGACACCAACACGAGTTTGTTCAAACCAAAGTTTGTTTTAAGAGTCGTTTCAACCAGGATGTGGGTGGCACAAAGTTCATTTTGACAAACCCAGGGCCATCGTCCCGGAGGTTGAGACTAGATGTTTTGCCCAGGTGACACCTGAGCACTACCGCTGGCTATGCTATTACACGGTGAGCCGCCGAGCCACACGAGAGGCAGGGCGCGGCGAGGTTTCAGTTTTGACATGTCGGGGCGCTGAAAGTGGTTGCAATCTCAGGGATTCTCAAGATGGGGTGTCATTTTTTAGGTTGGACCCTTCAAAACGTTGGTTTTCCTTTTGGCTTCAAGAGAAAACCAACCCAAAAGCGTCCCGAGCCTCGAAAAACGCCAGCCCCCAGCGGTTTTTGGGATTTCGGACCCCAAGCGCTCGGAGACTCGGATAGCCCAAGAGGCACCCGGGAAGTCTGGAGACTTGCCGCCATCTCACCAAGAGAAGGTCACTCCACCGGAGTGAAGGAATGCCCTTCCTGGCACGAACATAAGCGTTTGTGGGAAGGAAATTACCTGGAAGATCAGTTTCCTTTTTAAGGGACCCTCTGTGTGGTGTCATGTTGTAAACATTCCCAGACTAAGCAATTTACTTGTTCATCTTCCTTCCTGTTTGCTTTTAACCACCAAAACTTCAAAGCGTAACTGTTTGTATGGTCCGTGTCTGGCGCAGTAGAAGGGTATACTTTTGGAGCACGCCCCTGGTGCGCGATGTTTGACTCGACTGCCTCGTCTGGATTGGTGTTTCAACTTTTCACGTGGAGTTTTGTCCATTTCCCACCAGCCAATGGCTCAGCTTTCGCATCCGAAGATCCACCATGACTTTGAACTGGATGTCCATCCTTCGTCCATTGGAAGATGTCTTGATGTGCGGGGCAAACCCGAGCACGGCTTCCCAGGTTGGTTAGACCAGACCCAAAGCCAACCTGTTACCTTTTGTTGGTCCCATCCATTTGATTGGTAAGGCAAGTGGTAGTTAACCTCAAGACAAGCTCCACATGGCCATGGGTCAAAAGCCAAATCGGTTAGCCCCCCGTGAACATCCCAATCCAACCACTAAAATAGGTTCTAAAATAGGTGGTGCACCTACCCCAAAATGGTACCATTGGTTTTGACCCACAGCCAGCTTGATTTGGATTCGAGGCGAACTTCCATGGGAACTACATCGCCCTCTTCAACGCCTGCAAAGAGCGCAAGGTCCTCTTCGGACAGGTCCCTTCAGCTCTCGCCGCGAGACCTTGAGCCTTCGATTCGCGGCGAAAGGTAGTACCGCGGTCCCTTCAACAAGAAAAGCGTCTTGCAAACGAAGGGCCACGTGGATGTTCAACCCACTTATATAAGTAGGTGCCCTGGGCTATAACTGGGACTCGGCCAAGCCTTTTCCATTGTTTTCCACCTCTTTCTCTTCAAAAAGTCAACCGCCTGGCAGGGGGATCCCGCATTCACACCAAAACACCTCGTTCCGCTGGGGTCGAAATCAGGCTGTCGAGCGAGCACTTCCATCCAACACGCTGTGTTCAGCTTAAAACTAAACCGTTTGGACAGGGCGCAACGCAGTCGGGAGGGTAAGCAGGGAGATACTTTAGGCTTTAGGTCCTATCCTGGAAAGGTTCTCGGAACCATTCTACTCCTTGGGGCTGGGGTGTGTTTTCCCCTTTAGAAATATATCTTTTGCCGCTGTTTCAATCCACCAATACGGGCCCCTAAGTTTGATCCCCAAAGCGAATCGGCCGGATCTGACCTCTTGGTTTCCCCTTTTTGGTCACAATGATGGGCCCCTGACCTTTTGGTTTCCCCTGTTTTGTTCCCCTTTTTGGCTTCCCCTTTTTTGTTCCCCTTGTTGGTTTCCCTTTTGGCCCCATAAAGGTGAGATCACCCTTTGTTTTGTTTTAGTTTTTCTAGGCCCAGTGAGCAAAAACTGCGTCGCAGGCACTGGCTCAAAGGAAGATCGCGGAACGCGACTCGCGGAAATGGCGGCCACCAAGGAGGAAGATGTCCAGATGATGCTGGCGGCTCGCCCGAAACCGAAACGAGCCCGGAGATCTACGAAGCCTTGGTAGAAACAAAAGACAAACACCGGGGAGTTGTTTTTAGTGTTGACCATGTTTGGAAGTACTTTCAAACCCACGAAACCAAAAGGGAGCTGATGTTTCATTTGGACCTCTAAGAATAGAGCTCGATTGTTTCATTGAACCCCAGTTGAGTTTGTTTGTTTTTTTTGGGTGGGGATCCCTCGAAAACTGGTGACTTTGTCTACCAGGGCCACTGGTCAACCACAGGCTGACCTCAAGCTGCTGCATTGAAGCTTGGTATTCTCCATGCCCGGTCTTGTGGTTTCCCATAAAAAAAAAAAGAAAACAGAAAAAAAACACTTAAAAGAAGAGGCACCCAAGATGCAATCAGCTTCTGAACCTTACAGGGTGTGTGCGGGCGTGTGCTCGCTAGCGATTTTTCATCTGTGTCGAACTGGTGAATCTCCGCCACGATGAAAAGGGCTACCGATGATACCGATGAAGCAAGGTGCATGCATCCTTTGGCTGAAGCTTTGTTATGATTGATTTGTGTGGCTTGAGGTGACTTTTAAGCCCCTGGATGCAAACCAGCGCAGACCTTGACAGCTTCCGCTGGAAACCCGCACCTTGAAAGCTTCTGGCAACCCTTGGATTTCTTCAAACTCGGCACCTTCTCGTTTGTGGTTTTAGAGGAAACCCAACAGGACGACCACCATTTTGGGGTCCCAAGAGCCACTGCTTGGTCGAACCTCGGGTTTCCGCCAGCGGACAGCTCCCAGCGCCTCAGGTGTGCAAGACCCACCTGGGCACCCGCAACGTGGACTACCGCATGAAGCGCGCCTGGTCGGAAACGTCAAAGTGGGTGTCGAAGATGGTTGGTGTCCTTCCGGTTTCCCTTGAAATACCAACGAGCATGTGGGGTCCGCCACTCCCGGTTCCTCCCACCCAAACATTGCAGAGTTGCCCCGAAGTTCTTTTTTATCAGAAAGGGGGCTGGGGCTAGCACCAGGGCCAAGCGTGGTATGCGATTTCTAACTGTCCTACAAGCTTCATGGCCATTTTGGTAGAACCAAAATAGGTTTGAGCGCATAGGTATCCTTTTTGGTTGTTTTGCTCAAAAAATAGATGGCCTGGTTTACCTGGTGGTTTAATGATTTACCAGGGCCATCTATTTCCCCCAAAAGGACACCTATGTTTGAGCGCTGCTCAAGGGGCCCTGTTTGCAACCTCGCAAAAGGCTTGGGATGTCCTTTGGTCGATTTACTCTCCCACCAATTGACATGGAACCTGACAGGGGATTCCTTGGAAAGGATTTTTGTTCTTCCACGACCGTCTATCAGGTTTCACGTTAATTGGTGGGAGGGTTGGTACATTTTGCGTTCCGAAAGGTGATCTACCTTTCACATTGTTGGTCCAGGGGGCAGAGATGATGATCCTGCGAGAACCTGAAGATTTCGGAAGTTATTGAAAGTTCCTCTCCCTCAGGGTTTGTGTTGTCAGGGAAACCATAAGGGGAAGGGTTTTAAAGCCAACCTACCCTGAAAGGAGTCTTTGGCGCAATCCTGTTTGCTCCCTTTGGTGTTTAACATCATTTAAACTTGGGCCGGTGGATGTTAAAGGGAGAGTATATGGAACCGTGTGATATCCCTTGAAAGCGTGTTATGCCCCTGGGACCGTGTTACATCCCTTGGAACCGTGCAATATCCCTTGTTGGTTCTTTTAGACTACCCTAATTATTGGCCAATTTTAAGAGCCTTAGACAGCACCTTTTGTCCCGTTGCTGCTCGGCAACCAGTGGCTTTCAAATGGCCAGTCCATTTTGGTATGTGTCAAATCAGGGCTTTGGCCCCCAAACCAAAGCGTCGTGATGTTCCTCTGGGTGTCCCATTAAAGCACACCCAAAAGGCTACGAACTCAAGAACACACCTCACGCCAAGTCCGTGCTGAGGCTACATCTTCCGGCGCACGGTGGAGGGCATTCACATCATCCACCTGGGCAAAACCTGGGAGAAGTTGATGGTGGCGGCGCGCATGCGGGGCAGCCCAGTGACGAGAGCGAGGGGCCGCCCAGTGACGAGAGCGAGGTGCCGAGCGGGCCATGGATGAGGGAAACTTGGTTTTAGGGCCAATTGTCGGGATATGAAGAAAACACCCTTTGCAGTGATGAAGCAGTTATGAGTCAGGCATCCGAAGGGGTTTCAAACACGGGGCCCAATCGCTTGCACAGCACAATCACGCATGCATATCTTAGCACCCGATTTGGGTCACCCAACTAAACCCTTCGTCAGGATGCAAGTCTCTTTTTTTTTTTTTGCCGGGGTTGGTCTCCAGAAATGTGATCCTCCTCACATTGCGTTGGTTTCGAGTGAAAGAAACACCGACTGCGGCATTGGAGCAATGTGTGTCGAATGATTGGAATGAAGGGGAACCTCCCACCTGGGGGGTTGCTCCAGTTTTTTGTTCGGGGTTGGTCCAAATGTGACACAGCCCCAGATTTGGGCCAAGTGCCGGCCTTTTTCAGGCTAAAGAGAGCTATAAGAACCAACACACTTAGTTTTCCTTATTTATTTCTTCTTCGGGGTGGTCTAAGTATGACACAGCACAGCTCCAGATGTGGGCCAAGTGACGGCCTTTTTCATTAGCCTGAGAAAACAAAAGTAATTACCAAATTACCACACTTGTTTTTTGCTCACCCCCACCCCCTCTCCGAATTTGGCACATAGCACATAGCCTAATGGTTTTCACGAGGCACATCTTGGTGGCAAGCCCATTCGGAGACCTGCTCAGGATTGTGGCGATCGAGAACCCCTCGGACATCATCGTTGCATCCCAGCCACTCGACGCAAGAGTGTCTCAAAAGGCCCCCTCCCTTTTTGGGTAAGGGTTAAAGGGTTGATGCTTAAAGGGATTCTAGCAAGAGGCAATCCCTTTTTAGACTTTTCTTAATGACAAAGACCCTATTCAGGCCTGACTCTCGCAGCTGGTCACGCCCTCTAATTTAAGTCTCATGGGAGCCTTTAAAGATGGCTTAGGCTTAGGTCCCACAACAGGCACCTTTCAGATGCATGGACGGACTCCGCCCATAGGCAATGATTATTTTGTTGCTTTGGGCCCTAGATTTCCCAGCAGAAGCATGCGGCCCGAGCAAACTTCCCGGATCCTCTAGTAGTTGCCTCTTCCACATCCTTCAGTGAGGTGCCATGGCAACACAAGGACCACCAAGAAATTTGTTTGCACAATAGTTGTTTGAGCCATGTTTTGAACAAGGACAGCTGATCAACACATCTTTTTAAGTTTGTAACACCCTGTCTTGGCAAAGCTTAACGAGCTCACGGTCACAACGAGCTCAGTTCAAATGTGGGTTTAGATACTTGCCCCGAAGGGCGAAATCGGACCAAGGATAAAACCAAAGACCGGTTTAGGGGTCCGACTCTCATTTAAGACAGAACAGTGGTTTAAACAACCATGTTGGGGGTTGCAATTCGCATTTATTGATTGCATGGGCTGAAACAAGCATTGAACTTCCATTTGCTCAAGAGTATGTTTTCTTTTTTTCCCTCTTGGTTCTGAAGGGAATTCGCACCGGACATATTTTAAAACTCTTTTCCAGGGGGCGAAGAAGGCAAATGGAGGTGAATGGTGCGCTTTGTGCCTCGAGGCGTCCCTATGGATCCCGGGCCGTGCTGAAGTTCTCGCAGTGCCCAAGGGTCACAAATCGGAGCAAGCATCAACTCATCAACTCAGTTCAATCAAAATATCCGAAGCCATCCCTGCACCCGTTCTTGGCAAGTTGTTGTTTTTTGTGTTTTTTTGGCGGATTCTGTTCATCTTTAGGTTTGGTGCTGCAAAACATTGTGCTATCATACCAAGGGTTGTGAAGGTCCAGCCGCAGCCTGTGGGATCTTCTCAAGATTACCTTTGGCCATTCCCACAAGGCGAATGGACGGGATCTGACCTTTTGGGTTTTCCCGGAGCCACTTTCAGAGGTCCCAAAGGGTTTTTTCACTTCGCTCGGGATGAGAATCCGAGATCTGGGCAAAGGGTTCAGTTCGGGCTAGTCTAAAAGAATCTGGCTGCAGGCAAGCAAATGCCGGGTTTTCTCACCATCTTGGGATCTACCGGATGGTTCACCGCGGGTCCGTTTCGTATGGCCCAAAAGCTTTGTGACCATCTTGGCAAGAGTCAATGGGCTTGGGCGCTGCTCACAGGGCTCACAGCAATAGGAACCTCACAAAAGAGGGCGCGGGATAACAAATTGGGAGTGTCTTTGTGAGGGGGGAGCCGCCTTTTGGTGGGTTTTAAAGGGAAACAACAAGGAAGCCGGCCATTTTGGGGGGTCCCCTTAAAAAGGCACGCCCATTTTGCTGATTTGCGGTTGAAATGGTTGGTGAATAATATAGCTGCCCAGCTGTTCAGTGGATCGTTTGAACTGGTTCAAAAGTGAGAAACCGCGGCCCAAACAAGGTTCCAATGCTTTTTGGTGGCAACGCTTGGTGGTTTTAAACCATTCGGTTCCTGAGGCGGTGTTTAGGGTTTGGTGGTTTCCACAAAGCCACCAAAAGTCTAAGACTTTTAGTAGGGGATCTGGTAGCCGAAATCACTTTGGCTTCCCTTTATATCCCAAAAGGGTACTGTGTACCATCGAAAGCGGCAGGATGTAGCATAGATTCCATTTGCTTTGGTGAATGTCAACTTTGGATGAAAGAAGCGAACCACTGATCAGTACGCTTCTCCCAGATTGGATTGGGATCGCCACTGCATGCTGATTGCTGATCTGAGCAAATCATAGCTCTGAGATCTCATGCTACCGCACTCATCTTATGTTCCTGAGCACATCAAGAATCAATGTGAGTAGTGTTTACGTGGTCCCCTCGATGTCACCGAGTGCTCTTCGGTCGCACGTTCCTTTCTGGGTCGTCCCTGCGAAAGAAGGCAACAGTGACGAAGCCAGCAGAAAGCAATTAATTTGTTTGCGGAGGTTCTATGAAAAACTGGTGTTATATTGGCTTTTTCTGTGTGAGGTCGGTGAATATTGTTTGGACACATGTTCTGCTTGACTTCCTATGTATTATCGTTATCCGACGTTGTGGCGACCTCACACAAAGAGTTGGCCGAGTGACACATGATGCAAATGTGCCCCTGGCGGAGCTGGTGAGTCATGGTTCAGCTGTGTATCTGCTTTTAGGGGACCCTGGTGATTTTTCTTTTGGGTTTAAAGTAAAACCACCAAAGAGGGGGTGCCCTAAAAAGGCTCTGTGTGTCGATTTCTTGGGGGTTTGGGGCGGGTATGATCATTGCCGTGCTGGTTCTCAGCAGGGAATGAGGAAATGACCCCTATAAAGCATCTCCTTTGTTTCCTTTCACGAAAACCCTAAATTGATTCCAAACACCCTGGGTCATTCTCTACTGAGCACCAGCAAGTTACAGTTGGGTGAAAGTTGCCAGACTTTGTCAATGGCCGAGGGTCATCCCCGTGATCTTGCTCATCTGCTTTCACCCTAGTGTATACTGTATATTGATCCGAGCCGTTCCTCAAAGGGTATATAATTGGGTGTCTTTTGTACGGTTGGACCCCCCAAAATGATTGTTTCCTTTTGATTTCCCGAAAAAGAAAAAAAGCACATACCCAATTGGAGAGCGGTTTCGTGGGTTTCCCCAAGGCGAGGTGTTTTTCCAAAATTCTGCCGATCAGGTCTTTGACGTAAACCTGTGAAATGCGGTGCTACACCCATGTTCGACAGCTGGAGCACGTTAGCTTCAAAGCCACCCGACTCCCTCAAAGATGACAAGCAACAGCTCAGGGAAGTGGACTCCTCAGTGTTCCTTGACTGAGTTTGGGTTGGATCTTTAGACTTTAACTTTTTGGCAAACAAAGGTGTTTTCCACTAAACCCCCAAAAAGTTAAACTTTTTGCAGGGGGTCAACAGCAACCAAGGTTCTAGTTGGACTTCAAGCGATTTGTCGGAATATGTGGAGGGTGAGCAACGAGTCCAAACCTGTTTTGACGATCCGCAGTTGGAAGGCGCGAGTCTCTGCAACGAGTTTGGCGTCCGGTTTTAGGTACACCGGGGCCAACCCCTTGGCTGGGCGATGGACTCCGGGCACCCTCACCAACCAGATCACGCAACTCGGCCCAGAGCATCGTTTTTTTTTTCAGAGAGCGTCAAGGTCTCCCATGCTGGGCTCGAACATGGCTCGACCAAGACGAAAACCAGCGAAGCCGCCACATATTTTTTCAGTTTGCTTTTGCGACATCACCTATCCGGGAAATTCCTTTTTGGTATGTGTCAATGCGAAATATAGGGAGAATTGGTGGTGCCCTTGTCTTGTCCGAGGAGACAATGCTCTTTGAAAGCGCCAACAAAAAGGGTTATTCTCTTTGCAGGGTCACTGGGCTGCGTCAGATGGATGCCCTTAGTGGAGAAGAACGGAGCCCCTAGTCGCAATTTTACTACAAGAATTGGTGGATGGATGTAGTGGGTTTGCTTGCCAATATTTCTAGGCAGCGCACTTGATTTTGATTTGGCCGCAGGAAACCAGTGTGGCCAACACCCTGTGGCCATTTGCCCAAATTACGAGCACCTGCAAGTGCTAGGGCCTCCAGCTGTCGACATCTGAAGTAAATGTGCGACCACGGGAAACCAACCAGGAAAGCAAGGTGCAAAGGAATCCAACAGGCCAAAAAGAGCTGCATGTTGATGGATTTCTCGGGGAAACCGCCTTCAAGCCTAAAAGGAAACGCATGCTCAGGGGAGCTTCCAGGTTTGTCCGAAAGGGAAGCCAACTAGTTTGAAGGACACATTTGAGATTCCTTTGGAGGAAACCCAAACACCAAACTGGTTTCCACCTTCCAAAAGTCACAAAGGGGAAGAGACCAGCGGTTCCCATCACTTGGAGCCGAACCCCGATCAGAGTGTCCGGAGGCCTCTTTCTTGTTTGCTCAAGGGAAGCAACATAAGCACAAACAGAAGTAGTTCTTCCAAGAAGGTGGTGGTTGATGGCGGGGACGTCCCATTGTAAGGGTCCTATGGGAAACAGTCTGAACCACTTGTAGCCGACTGTCATTTCTAATGTTGATCATTTGTTTGCCTCTTCAGCCCCTAAGTTGGCTCTTTCTTTTGGGACTACAACACTTTACAGTTCTTGGCAGTTGTCATCGGAGTCATCGAATAGCGAGGTGCGTGTGACACTCGAGTTGCGATAAAGTCTTGGGAATCCGCACATGTGCTCTACGTCATCCAGGCAACATTGCGCAGATACTGCAGCATGGTTGAACTTAACTTGCTTGCCGAGGGGTGCAGCCAATGCTATGCTTGAACCCTTTATAAACCTCGCTTTGTGTTTGCAAAACAAAGTAGAAAGGACCACACGGAAACAACAACTGCTTCTTTCCCCGCCCAGTTGGGCTGTGCCTTCTGCAACTTGTTCTCTTTTGTGAGCAGGGCGGGGTGGGTCCCGAGCCCAACAAAGAACATCAAGTCAAACAACTCCATTCAAACAAGCTCACTTACTGAGTTCCTGGACTTTAAACTGTTTTGGTACGACCATTTTAGTGGTAAATAACATTTGGATTTTTGTTCCAATCCACAAGTATGGCCAGGTTTTGTTTGTAACATCGCTTGCTCAACCCTGATGGGTCGGGGATGCGGCCATACTTGGATGTTGAACCCACTTAATGCATCAGTTATGGCCATGGCTATATCTGGGAAACCTGAGGTGAGCTTCTTCTGACCATAGTTGTAACATACTTAAAGTTTAAGAAACAAGTTAGTTATATGATGAAGATGGGCGGAACATCCAACTAAGTGAGTAAGCATTTGGAGCATCCCTTCTGCATCTTCCTTTGTGGTGAAACATCAGCACGTACCTACTTAAAAGGATCACCTTCAGTTATTTGGAGGATCCCCGTTGGATTTCATGCTTTACCAGGTTTTAGAGCCGCACAGTTTAGTCGCCCCCTTTATTTAAAGAGTTGGTGGTAGCTATCTTCACCTATGTTGATCCGAGCTGCTCCTAGGATCCCGGTTTGAGCAGGATAACCCTGGATCGAATCGACGCGAGGCAGAAGTACCTGGAGCCTCGCTTGCTGATTGTCACGGACCCCCGAACAGATTCCCAGGCCATCAAAGAGGCGAGAGTCGAAGCGGCCGGTTTCGATTGCATCCTTGGGTGCAAGAACTCAGTTGTCCAAAGCCGACCTTTTGACCTTTGTTTTTCGCATTTTGGTGCATTTTAAGTAAAGGTCGAAAGGTTAACCTTCTGTTTCCAGGCCCTTTGGGCAACTGAGAAAAGGAGAGGAGGGGAGTTGTGGAGTCCCCAATTTTTAAGTGGGGGTGGTCGGGGATCCCTATGGAACCCTAAGGAACCTAAAGGAACCCTAAGGAACCCTAAGGAACCCAAAGGAACCCGAAGCAACCCCAAGGAACCCTGGAACTCTCAACTACCCACCGCCTTGTACCTACCTCGCTTAGGGGTTCCAGAAGGGATACTTGTGACTCACAGGGTTTCATTTGGGTATTCTACTGGAATTTCCATGTAAATGATGTCCACCATCCCTGAGACAGAAAGGACCCTCCATTGGAGGATTCTGGATCTCCTTTCTGGGTTTGAACTTGACATCAAAACGGCCTTTTTCGGTCGCAAGATTGGTAGAGTTGCGAAAGCTGGCTGATTTCAATCCTCCCACACCATGGCTTTGAGGGAATATGTTTTCGAGTGCTCCAAACACCAAAACGTCGCAAGGGTGGCCAAATTTCTCAGGACACGGGGTGACTTCTGTTTTTGTGTTTTTGGTGTGTGGATAAAAGTCAGCTTTGAAGTCTTCCTTCAAACGGAATCTGGATCCCGTGGAAATTGACCAGAGGGTATGTCCAGATATGGCTGTGATTTTGTTTTTAGGGGTCTGTAACAGAGCCGCGGCGGACATTCGTTACAGACCTCGTTACAGACCTCCGTAACAAAACGTGCCGGTTCGTTGCAGACCCCTCGTTGCATACCTTTGTTACACACCCCCATGTATCTTTTGTAATGTAGCTTGCGGCTTTTTGATTTGCATTTGGCATTCTGCATGATATATCAGGTCAGGAGCCTTTGCAGGAATGAATCTTAATAGGGGGCCAGCTCAAACAAGGAGGTCAAGCCCGGCGAGATCGAACGCATGGGCAAAGCAGAGTTGCAGCAGAAGCTGAAAGAACGGAACCTTGATGATGATGGGCCCCGGTTTGCTCTGGCTGCCAGGCTATGGATGCACTTTGAACAGGCACAGAAGGCAAAATCAAAGGAGGACCTTGCCAACCCGTTTGGTGATTTTGACCACGGCTTGCCGGAGAAGACGTCTGTCAGGACAGGTCCTTTTCATTACTTGGAAGCTTCTGATGGGTTGACCGCAAGACACCAGAGGCAGTTCTGCAGCACACCTATTGTTTGCTTTTGCTGCCCAAGATAGCTAAAAGCATAGGGTCCAACTTTGAGTAAAGAATGGGAGCACGGGAAGGAATTGTAGCTCAATGCTGGAAGGACTGCAGATCCGTTAGCAGTTGCGCCTGTAGCAAAGCCGGAGGCCGCCGAGCAGTCAGCTCAAGCTGCCCAGCCTGCGCAGGACAAGCCTGCGTGCCCGATTCCAGAAGCAGACCCTTTGATGATGAAGGCTTACAACGCCATGGCAAAAGTGGCCAAGCTTAAGGCGCCAGAAGCTCCAAGCCCGCCGGCCGAACTCACGCCGAGCCCCTCCATGCAGCAGCTTGAGTTGGAGAAGCCTGAGGAGGACAGTGGAAATCTGAAAGCACTCTAATCCTAGAGCTTCGCCATCACAAGCTGCGCTGCTTCCAACCCACCCACCCACCCACCCACCCCACCCGCCACCCACCCACCCACCCACCAACCCACCCACCTCCACTCTTGGCATCTACGCGCTCTACAAGGAGAATGGCGTGCTGAGACGGACCTACTTCCATTACCTGTCCCAAATCTTAGACCACACTACACTGCGTTGCACGCCAGCGAGGCATTGAAGGATGTGCTAAGTAGGATCCCCAAGGCCTCCAAGCGCAAGACCTTGCACATTTGGTGTGATTGCGGCCCGAGCCTACGCCACTTGGTGTGGTCTTGCTCAAGACATACGCTGAGCTGCAGCAGACTTACTTCCACTACTTTGCAGAGCACCACGGCAAGGGCCGCAACGATGGCCAGTTCGGTTTGCAAAGGACTTGGATCAACGCGCGCACGCAGGAAAACACCATCAGTTCCTTGAAGGACTTGACTGACGCCCTTACGCAGCAAGCTGCACTAACCATGTCGAAGGACCCTCCCGCAGGCCCAGAGTATCGGATTGTGCACTTTCACCCAGCAAAGCCGAAGGAGTTCCAATACTTGGATGTTACCAGCACTGACTTGAGAATCGAGTACACTTACTGCTTGCAAATGTCCAAAACGCAAAGATCCAAATACCCATCACTCTGCGAACACCTATTCTGACAGGCTTTCCGTTCCAGCCAACGGTCGTGCCATGGGCCCCCCAATCTTGATCACGAAGACTCATGAAGAAAGGGAGTGGCGGGTTTCGTACAGGCAGGCTGAGCCTGAGAAGGATGTCTTGCCGGAAGAACTTTTGAGACGGCGCCTGAATGCCCAGAAGCATGCCAAAGGTTCTGAAACTAGCCGTCGATTACCTGCTCTTGAAAAGATAAGTCAAGCAGAAAAGGGGTACGCGAAGAAAAGGGCCAAAGACGCCCGGCAACGTGTTGTGTTTGGCAGTGGGCAAAGTTTCAGTAGCAGCTCAACCACATCTGACGCTAGTAGCGACGAGGCCGCGTGAGAGAAAATGCACAGCTGCTTGCCTTCTCGTCGTAGTCTGCTCTGCCGTCCATCGAGAATTAATAAGCGTACTTATGTAACAAGAGTTCCCCCTTGTTCTCGTTACAGACCTGCGTGTCAAGGGCCCCCGTTACAGACCTCCGTAACAAGAAGTGTGCCGAGTCGCGCGTTACACACCCCTAAAAAATATCGTAGCCATATCTGGCAAGGCAGTAGATACCCTGCCACCAACTAACAGGAAACCTGACCGGAGCGTCCTGGAAGACCATTCTTCTTTTGAAGGGACCGGGTCCCTGTCAGCTTCATGGTTCCATGTGAATTGGTCGGAGGGTACCTTTAAGGGGTATAGAGTCTCCATACCTCCCCTCTCCCGGAAAAAGCTTCCAACTTGAACACTTGCTCGAAGCAGAGAGTTGGCTTTTGAAAAAACAGGAGGACGTCGGACCTGACCTTCAACCCAGGTTTGGTCATTGAGTTCGCTGAAAGGATCCGTGTGGGGTCAAAGAGGAGATGCCTCCAACGTGGATTGGTGTTTTGGGTTCCAGGTGCTGAAGGAGTGGGGCTGGAGCTTCGTTTCTACCCGCGAACTTTATATTTGAACCCTTCGGATTTACAATCCGGTTTCACAATTCCCAAAAACATACGGTTTGGTCCCCAAGGCACAGAAAGAAGAGCTGAGTCGGCTAGGGGTTGAGGGGTGATGGTTGGACCTGGCGAAAGAGGACGCTGCTGCCGAGCTGTGTGTGTGTGTGTGTCACGTGTTTGTGGTTGTTGTCTTTGGAGCCGATAGTATTGCAAGTTAGGTGTCTCTGTTTTTGCCACCCTTTTGGTTTGGTTGGCTTGCTTTTGCGTCCATGTTTGTGTGAGCCGCAAGAGGAGTGTGTGGGATTTGATATTAGAGCAGCAAGAGGCAGCCCTTATCGGCCATTGGAAAAGAACAAGAACACACGTAAATCGAGATAATGATTCCAATCCCGTTTTGTCCTGTGTGGTCCCTAGAGGGCTCCCTTGGAACTCATGTCTATTAAAGTTTGGTTTCCCTTGTAAGCCCCAACACATGAGTCACAATCAAAACCTGGGTAGATGAAGGTTAGTAAGGGACAGCCCCTGCCAGAAACAGCTGCCGCCTTTGGATTACATGGTTCTGGGTCAACCATTTTACTTGCCGGTGCTCAGCAGGGAATGAGGGAATGACCTCTATAAACCATCCTTTGCGGTTTCCTTTATTCGGAGTTCCCCTTCTGGTTCATTCCCTCATTCCCTATCTATTGCACCAGCATGTTTTTTTTTAGCCGGGTTTTGATTGTGACTCACATGAGTTGTTGGTTGGTTGGTTGGTTGGTTGGCTGGCTGGCTGGCTGGCTGGCTGGCTGGCTGGCTGGCTGGCTGGATGGCTGGCTGGCTGGCTGGCTGGCTGGTTGAGTAGTTGGTTGGTTGGTTGGTCAATTGGTTGGTTGGTTGGTTGGTTGGTTGGTTGGGTGGTTGGGTGGTTGGGTGGTTGGGTGGTTGGGTGGTTGGGTGGTTGGTTGGTTGGTTGGTTGGTTGGTTGGTTGGTTGGTTGGTTGGTTGGTTGGTTGGTTGGTTGGTTGGTTGGTTGGTTGGTTGGTGGCTTGGTTGGTTTGGTGGGTTTGGTTGGTGCGTTGGTGGGTTGGTGGGTTGGTTGGTGTGGTTTGGTTTGGTTTGGTTGGTTTGGTTTGGTTTGCAAGCTTCGTTGGTGTTGTTTTTGTTTTTTTCCTGGATAGAGAACAGTGCCGCAGGCCTCCTACGCGAGCATCCCAGTCATCGCGCTCTGCGACACCGACTCTCCGCTGGAGAATGTGGATGTGGCCATCCCGGCGAACAACAAGGGTGCGCGTGGTGGGTGGGTGGGGGGGTGCGACCTGGGGAGGCAGAGGGGTCAAGACACACAAAGCAGGTCGGATTTTAAGCGACAGGGACGCGTTGGGCCCGCTTCAACTTAGGCAATGGCTTCATGTCGGGAGGGAATCCTTTGATTGGAATCCTTCAGATTCTGAAGTCGACATCATATTTTTTTTTCGGATGGCGCCGGTTGGACTCATGGCGCGGGCACCCATTTCTCTTCACCCTTGACTTCCCATCCAATCCGTTGCCATTGAACCTGACCTGGGGGGTGTGAAACACCCTTCTGAGCAGCGGGTTCCATGTTGGTGGAAGGCAAGGTCATTAGATATCAGTGATTCCGTTTACCTCTCTGGTGGGCAACCAAGCGAACCACCCTTCAAAGAACCAAAACGGAACTAGCTGGTTACCTATTGTCATCGTGGGAACTGGGATCTACTGGGGATGAATGTTCTTTCTTGTTCATGGTACTTGGCACCCGCCGTGGCATCTTTGAAGGCATCCGGGATCAGGCCGCCTGCCTGACTGGCAGAGACAAACCTATGCAAACGCAGGCACAAAGAGGCCGACGCGACAGGCACAGAGCGAAATTCAAGAGGCAGCCTTTAGACCAGCACGCCACCCGTTTTTCGACGCTAGTCAGATGACGGCCGCCCGCCATGGTGAGTGCATCGCCGTCAGCGGCCTGTCGGGTAACGCATCTCGGAGGCATTGCTCTGAAAAGTGGGGGCCTGGTTTTGTCCAGGGATTTGTGGGGACAGGGTTCACAATCTTTGGCGAGAATTGAGAGGAAGCAAGGAAACTTAAAGTCCGGGATACCTCCAGAAAGGTTTCAGGATTGGGTTGGGGAACTTCGGCGCTGGATTCAATTCCCAGAGACTGGGTCGGTGTGCACGAATGACATCAGGTGACAGGTGCTCACTCGAGGCATCGCCCGGCATTTTCACGACTGTGCAACACATAACCTACAGACATGGAAGTGCATGACTTCCTTTTTGGGAGTCTACTCCCTTGGGGAGGCCAACTCCACTTCCGAAATTGAGTGGGAGGGTAGTTTGTGTGAAGCAAAATCGGACCGACATTGGTGGGAAACGGCTAAGAATGGCTGCTCTCTCTCTCTGTCTCTCTCTCCCTCTTTCTCTGTTTCTCGCTCTCCCTCTCGCTTGTCTCTCTTCATTTATTCATTTACTTATTTTCAGATTTATGTATTTACCTATTATTTATTTATTTATTTATTTATTTATTTATTTATTTATTTGTTTGTTGCTTTCCCTCTCGCTCTCTCTCTTGCTCTCTTCAGACGACTGCTTGTGTGCGTGTGTGGGTGTGTTTATAAGTTTGGGCGCACCTCCAAACAGCTACCTGCAGCAGTAACCTGATTGGCTCTTCGTGTGTGCGTACTGGCTTCCCTTTTTTGAAGCTTTTCTGCGGCTTGAGCCTCAGCCAAGAGATCCATTTTGGATTTCAAGGGCCCTTGTTGCCACCAGAAACTCGTCAAATAATTTTGTGGACACGGGTTTGAACCTCTAGGCCTTTGGAAGATGTTTCAAAGGATCTGGTGGGTGACGTGCCAGGTTACTTGAGTGTGTCGTTGTTGGGGAATCTCCTTTTGGTTGTAAAGGGAGTCTAGAAGGAAATCAACAATTTTGAGGCACCCGCATACGGAGACAAAGTTGCTGTACTTGTGTGAGGAAGCAGTGCTGTTATTTGTTTCTTCTGTGTCCTGGCTGTGTGTGTGTGTGTGTGTCAAGACTATGAGCCCCCCCTGGCTTTGGCACAATGAATCTCAACGCTTGGAACGGCCCCCACTTAAGATCGAAAAAACAAAAATCGGGTTCGGTCAATCACACACCAATCCACGACGCAGACCTAGTTTATATAGGGAAGAACGCCTGGGATTGCATAGGACACATTGATGCGTGTCCTTCAACATGGGTCTAAGCCTTCCACTCAACCACCCACATAGCAACTTGCAAATGTGGCTTTTTGTTAAGAAGCCGCCCAAGGGGGGGAGGGGGCGTCCCTCGGTTCTCCTTGAGCTTCTCCCACAATGCAGACCAGAAAAAGAGAGCCCGATTGTGGCAAACATATGTCCATTGGCCAAACTCCCCTTGGTAACCGAGGGAATTTGATCAATTCTGGCATGTGTTTTAGGGGAGCGCTGAAAGTAGGTTTCGGGTTTCCCACAAAAAGTGGTCGACACATTCCGGACACGAGACACATGCTACCAACCTCACGAACCTTGGGCAGGGTCACGCGCTTTCCTCGGGGTGCTTTCAAGACAACCAAAATCAAGTTCCGGTTCCCCCTTTACAGACGACACACACAGACAAATATGGGTTTCCTGGCTGGTTTCCTAAAGACACGACAGACACGTGGACAATATATTAATGGAAAAACAAGAGCACAATGGAGCACAGACTTGCTCCTCTACATGACGAGGCACTTTGTTTGATGAACAAACACAGATTTCTCCGCAAAAACGCGGGCTCCGCAACGTTCCACACTCCTTTTTCAAAGGAGATCAAAGAGGACAACCACTTTAGCCGGACAGCCGATATCTTGCTGGTGCTTGGGGAATGAGTTGGAATGAATTTTTCTTTTTTTGCGGGGTGCCCTGAAAACGGAAGCCATAGGACAAGTTGGATGGTTTCTTTTCGAGGTCCTGCACGAAGAATGTCCCCACCCCGCGGTCTCGCGGGCCGCGAGTTGTGCCGAGGTCACCTACTTAGAGCCCTCGGTGCTTGAGGAGCCGGTGACGGTGCTCAGCATCAAGCGCCGCCTCGCGAAGCAGCTGGGCTGCTCCATCTTCGGCCTGCGCCTGCTGCACGAGGACAAGGCCGTTGAGTCGAGAGAAGTGTTCCTCCCTTGAGTGGTGGTTTATAAAACGGTTTATAGTGGTTCTATTGAATTCGATTGAGTTTATATTGGTTTATATATGTAGGTGTTATTGGTTTTATTGCGTTTAGTTTTTTTTAGACATGGGTGGCTCGTTTGTTTTTGAGGCTCGGTACCATGTTCAGGTTGGAACCCCAGAGGAAATGACACCAGTTTGGGGGTTCCCATGTTTTGAGACAAACCCACGGCGCGTTTCCTTTGGCTAGCAACTTGGATTCGGAGGTCGTATTTGTTGGTTGGGGTGTGTTTGTTTTAAGGAAATTCTGATTAATCAACGGAGAAGGGAAAACCACCGAGTTCCCGAACTTCACCATGACCTTTTAACCCATCGCGGGTGAATCTTGCTAGGGCTGATGTTTTATGGAAGCTATAGCTGGAACCCAGGCCATTCCAACTGCCATGCATCTAAAGGTATTTGTCTGTCCCATACTTTCCAGAGATTGTTTTGTCCAGAAAAGTGCCCACAACCGAGCTGAAACAGCTTGATTTGAAAGAATCGATAGTTCGAAAGAATGAAGAGTCATTGAAAGGAACATCTGGTGGGATTGGTCCTAGTTTGATCAAGGCGCCCAACAATGCCCAATATATCGCCTGGTAAGGGGCAAAGGATGCCTTCATCTTTGGTTTGACCATCGCCAGGATCGGAGTGAGTGATTCCTTTGAAAGGATACCCACTGTGGATTCCCGAACCAGAAATATGTGAAATGCCATGACCAAATTGATAGCGACTCCGTCTTCCCTCCTCGTGATGGCGTTTCTGAGTCGCCTCCTGCGAGACCCGCGCAATATATCAAAGGAAGCTAGAAGTATCGCCAAGAAACATCCGAATGGTGTAACGCGGCCTATTGTACTACCTGCCTGACACCAAAAGAAGGATAGGAACCCCTACCTACTGTATCAAATGGGGGTACCTGGGGGTTACATTCCAGAACATTGCCAACGACGCGGTGGGAAATCTCTGGCTTGTGAAGAGAGCGATAAATGAAACACACATATATATATGTATTTATATATTATTATTATTATTATCATTATTATTATTATTATTATTATTATTATTATTATTATTATTATTATTATTATTATTATTATTATTATTATTATTATTATATGCAGACATATTCGGCATTGTGTAGGACTTGCAATTTCGCAGGAACC